GGATTCAAAAACACAGCCACGTCCTCAGTTGCCAGTCCCTTTCCGCGCGCGAGCCCCCTACCTCTGCGCTTTACTTCTGCAGCTCCTCTGGTTCTCAGTGTGCTTTTCTTTCCTTCTAGTTGTAGAATTTACAGTCAGCCAGGCTTCCTGTGGTTCTGGATGATGTCCGTATTGTGTTTCTGAGGTATTGTTGTGAGCAGCAGCAATTTCCCGGTGTTTATCTATGCTGCCATCTTAGTTTCTCTCCCCATAAAATCTTGTTGAAATTATTTATTTGTTTTGCGATTATCTTTATTTATTGGGGTGGCATTGATTATACAGGTTTCAGGTGTACAATTCTATAGTACTTCATCTGTATATTATATTGTGTGTTCATCACAGCAAGTCAAATCTCCTCCTACCACTATTCACCCCCCCTTTACCCTCTTCAACCTCCCCCAACACCCTTCCCCTCTGGTAAACACCATGCTGTTGTCCATGACTTTTGGGGTTTCTTTTGCTTAATCCCTTCATCTTTGTCATCCAGCCCCACAAGCCCCCTCCCCTCTGACAGTTGTCAGCCTGTTCTTTATCAATGAGTCTGTTTCTATTTTATTTGTTAGTTTATTTTGTTCACTAGATTCTACATATGAGTGAAATCATACGGTACTTGTCTTACTCTGACAGGCTTATTTCACTTAGCATAATGCTCTCCAGCTCCATCCATGCTGTCACAAAAGGTAGGATTTCCTTCTCTTTTGCAGCTGTGTAGTATGCCATTGTGTAAATGTACCACAGCTTTTTTATCCACTCATCTACTGATGGTACTTGGGTTGCTTCCAAATCTTGACTCTTGTAAATAATGCTGCAATGAACATAGGGGTGCATATATTCTTTCGAATTAGTGTTTCAGGTTTCTTCGGATAAATTCCCAGAAATGGAATTGCTGGGTCATAAGGCAGATCCATGTTTAATTTTTTGAGGAAACTCCATACTGCTTTCCACAGTGGCTGCACCAATCTGCATTCCCACCAACAGTGTACCCGGGTTCCCTTTTCTCCACATTTTGCCAACACTTGCTTGTTGATTTATTGATGATAGCCATTCTGACAGTTGTGGGGTAATATATTATTGTGGTTTTAATTTGCATTTCTTTAATGGAAATAATTTAATTTAAGCAAATGCCTATTGAAGACCTAATTGTATGACAACCTAATTGTAGGGGAGATGGAAAAGTCAGAAGTGCCTCCCACCTAGTAGCTCACAGTTCTGTGGAGGGAGATGGACCAAGGCAGATCTGCTAAATATGTCATAAGCTAACTTCAAGATGTTAATTTCCTTCAACATCTCTATTCATTTGACTGGAGATTTAGACCAGAAAAACTTTCTAGCTACTTTAAAAAAATTTTTAAGAAAGAAAATGAGAGTGACTCTTTAAGAAAAATAATTTCAAAACTGTTGACCTACAGCTATAAAATCATTTAGTACATTGTCTATAGTGGAAATGACAATACATCTTGAAAAGGGTCAATTGTATAATGCATTCATGATCTTTTATAATTAATACCAGTCTTGGGTAAATTATTAATTCTGTTCCTCTCTTTATTACCTAGGAGTCCCAGCTGTCATTGTAGCTATGACAGTGGGAATTATTTATTCTCAGAATCCTTCAGGATGGGAGCTATACTACCGGCGAGAAGAAATGTGAGTTATATATTTTAAAATGTCCATTTCTTTGATATGAGTGCAACTATTCAGTGATATTGAGTCCAAGCCTCACTGTACATATGCATCTCACTTTATAATTGTCATATTCTAAGTGGGTATTTAAAATTCTCAAAGAAGCCAAAACCGGTTTGGCTCAGTGGATAGAGCGTCAGCCTGTGGACTGAAGGGTCCCAGGTTCGATTCCGGTCAAGGGCATGTACCTGGGTTGCGGGCACATCCCCAGTGGGAGGTGTGCAGGAGGCAGCTGATCGATGCTTCTCTCTCATCGATGTTTCTAACTCTCTATCTCTCTCCCTTCCTCTCTGTAAAAAATCAATAAAATATATTAAAAAAAATTCTCAAAGAAGACATTTTATTTTAAATATGGTGACATGAAAGTTTCCTATGATAAATCCTTCAGTAAAGCAAGTACTTCCCTTCTAAATTTATATATTTAAACTTTCTTGTGTTAAATTGAATTTTTTATTAAGTCTGAAAAATTATAGGACAGAACAGATGTGATCCTTAGTAACATCTTATCTTAGTTTTGTCATCTAGATAACAGGAATGACAATAATAGTACTACCTGCTCAGAGGTTACTGTGAGGGGTGAAACAAATGTGAAAGCATTTCATAACTTAAAGGGTACCATCTATACTTATGAGCCAATTTTTTTATACGATTATAATGAATACTAGAGGCCTGGTGCATGAAATTCATGTGGGGGGGGTAAGGGGGAGGAGGTGGGTGTCCTCAGCCCAGCCAGCACCCTCTCCAATCTGGGATCCCTCTCACAATCCAGGACTGCTGGCTCCTAACTGCTCGCCTGCCTGCCTGCCTGATTGCCCCAACCACTTCTGCCTGCCAGCCTGATCACCCCCTAACCACTCCCCTGCCAGCCTGATCGACACCTAACTGCTCCCTGCTGACCAGATCGCCCCCAACTGTCCTGCCCCGCAGGCCTGGTCACCCCTAACTTTCCTCCCCTGCAGGCCTGGTCATCCCCAACTGCCCTCTCCTGCTGGCTATCTTTGGGGGCAGCCATCTTGTGTGTTGGAGTGATGGTCAATTTGCACATTAACTCTTTATTATATAGAATTTCATGATGATTTTTTACACTTAACAAATTCTCCCTGTGACTGCAGCCTGAATAGCTAACTGTTAATAATGGAAGTACCTGACTTTATGGTGGTTGCTTTTTATGTGGAGAGGAAGAGAAGAAAGCTGAGCTGAACTTTTTACGTGTATTTCTGTTACAGAACAACTGCTCTTTAATTGATCCTCCCTTCTCATCTTATAATCCAACTAGTGGCCTGGTGTATGAATTTTATACACATTAAAAGGGAATTAATTAGAGAGTCAAGTCCTCACACACCTGTGCAGGCCTCAAAATCTCTTGAGACCCCAACCCAGCTTACCCCACCCCCACTGGGCAAGACCCAGACCTGGCTGGCCACACACCCATCAAGCCTGCCCCGCCCCTCCGCAGTGTCTCACCAGCACTGGGTGGGGACGCACGCAGACAGCATCATGTCCCAGGCCAGGGATGCACGTAGGCAGCATCACGTACCCTGCCGGGGACACAGGCAGACAGTGCCACATCCCAGGCCGGGTTGCATGTAGGCAACTTCACGTCCCAGGCTGGGGACACACATAGGCAGCTTTACTTCAGTGCTGGGGTTGCGGGGGGTGGAGGGGGGCAGCGCCACGTCCCAGGTCAGGGACACAGGCAGGCAGTGTCATGTCCCAGGTCAGGCACACAGGCAGGCAGCACCACGTCCCAGGTCAGGGACACAGGCAGGCAGCACCACGTCCCAGGTCAGGCACACAGGCAGGCAGTGTCATGTCCCTGGCCAGGGATGCAGCCAGGCAGCTTCACCTCAGTGCTGGGTAGGATGTTAGCACTGGGCAGGCCTGGGTGTGCTTCTGCTCGGGGCAGAAGTCCCTGCCCCTGATCCCACCACCCAGCTCCTGTGCATGTGCAACCAGTTGACTGGTTGTGACTCAGACACTGTAATGGACAAATGAGCATAATCCCTATTTATTATATAGGATCATTCATATCCCCAGATTCCACCTTAAGACCGAGAACAACTCAAATAAAAATAAAACTTTTGCAAATGTGCAATACACCCAAGGGAAGGCTGTGGTGTTAGGGTGCTTACCTATTTCCAGGGCTAACCATGTCCAGCTGTGGAACAGGAGGCTATCAGCCTGGTTTGAATTTAGGAGCCAAGCACTTCAGATATTATTTTCTCTGTTTAATTAGGGTTAAGTATCTTTCAATGAGTTTTACATTTTGAATTACGAAATTAGAGATTGGGATAAGATGCTCATATCTCCTGGGAGAGGTAAGTTACTTCAAATTGCATTTTTAATTTCCAACTGGAATCCAGGCACAAGGCTAAAGCTATTTCTATAAAAGCCTTTAGGAGAAAGAAGACTACTATCTTACATTTATTCTCATTGGGCTATAAATAATTGAGAGCAAATTCTTTCCTGATTCTTTCCTGAGTACAGTATTGGATGTTAGGGAAGACACGAGGTGACTGATAATAAGAGAAGTTGGGAAGAGAGGAAAGGATGTGTAACATCTGCCTCCTCTTGGACCATTATCCCCCACGTTCTACCCTACACCCAGGCATCAAGGGTCACATTCCTTCAGGATTTATTTAGAAAGTGGAGGGACTTTTTTGGTTTTCCTCCCAGTTGTTGAACCTCAATATCCTATTGCCTCCCCCCACCCCCCGTGCTCTGCCAGTGATACCTGAAACTCGTAACCCAGTTCCCCTGATATACTGCTATCTTTGCAAGAAGGACCCAATTAAGAGGTAAATGCAAGGAAGGCCACATTTCTCCTTAATGCTCTATCCCCCAACTATCTGTACCACCATCATATAGGCTGTTTTCAGACTTTCCTGAAGGGTTGAGGTAATCATGATAAATTGTAATGCATGAAGGAGGAAATTATTCAACTGTATGCTGTATGTCCTAAAGCAGTGATGGCGAACCTTTTGAGCTCAGCATGTGAGCATTTTGAAAAACCTTAACTTAACTCTGGTGCCGTGTCACATATAGAAATTTTTTGATATTTGCAACCATAGTAAAACAAAGATTTATATTTTTGATATTTATTTTATATATTTAAATGCCATTTAACAAAGAAAAATCAACCAAAAAAATGAGTTCACGTGCCATCTCTGACACGTGTGTCATAGGTTCGCCATCACTGTCCTAAAGCTTCCTTCACGGTGTGCTGCATGGAAAAATCACCAAGCAGTTAAATACCTCATCTGAAGTCTACTTACGATGCTCTCCAGATCTCGGGTCCCCAGCTGTTTATAAATTCATCCTCGACCATGTGACCCTCCAGTCTCCACCCTAGAAATCTTGCTCCATGCCTACAAGGGTTATTCTCACTGTAGGCTCCATCTCTCTCCTTGGCAGTTTATTTCTCAAAATCCTAGTTATTAAATTAGGGATAACAAAGGGAAAGGCTGTTGTGAGAACAAGTTCAGCATAATTGTCTCTCCAAGCAATATAATTATAAAGGGGGTGAGGAGTCCCCTCCTGGTGCACACCTTCTAAAG